ATAAACAGAGGGAATAAACATATATACAACAGTGGTTCATGTTACAATGTCAAGGTAAATATGGGACACATAAACAGAGGGACAAACATATATACAACAGTGGTTCATGTTACAATGTCAGGGTAACAAAGGGACACATAAACAGAGTGACAAACATATATACAACAGTGGTTCATAATACAATGTCAAGGTAACAAAGGGACATATAAACAGAGGGAATAAACATATATACAACAGTGGTTCATGTTACAATGTCAAGGTAACTAAGGGACACATACACAGAGGGACAAATATATATACAACATGGGTTCATGGAACAATGTTAATGCAACGAAGAGACACATAAACAGAGGGACAAACATATATACAACAGCAATGTAACAAAGGGATAAATAACAACACTATTGTTTATGGTATACAGATATATTGAATATTTTTTTAGATTAATCTAGAATGTATATAAAGTAAAACGTGTGTATCAACATACCTTGTATATCTTTGGTCTTCATCTCTTCAGTTCGACGTTCACTCATCATGTTGCCACTAACAGCGTAGATATCCACTTTGTACAAAGTGTTGATCTCCAGGTTCTCTATCAGCACAGATGGACCATCTGTCGGATATTCAGCTTGGAAAGAAGAACCATCAGCTATCTCAACAATGTATGCGTCCACCATACCCTCAGATGCTTTCCAGTGCAAGTTTAGTGATGTAGATTTGACCGTGCTCTTTATCCAATCAACCATACCTGGCACTGCAGGACCTGTGGATATAGACTTCCTGTAAGTGGTGAATGTCACCTAATCCATCCTATTACAGGATAACTATACAGTAGGGAAGTACTTACTATGACTATTTGAAATCTGAACAAGAGGTCAAAGGGGTAAAAAAATACATTTAATACAGAAATCATTTAAAAATCTCAACTAATCAATGAAGGTAGTACATTATTATAATACTGTTCATGAAAAAAATAGTACTGTAAGCCAAAAGCTGTTTAATAATAGCCCCTTCTCACATGAAAGATAAATTGTAGGGGCAAAGAACATATAAAATATTTGAAACAAATCAAAACAACTATCGAAGATACCAGTCATGGATACACAATTTCATAAATATTGGTCAAGAAAGAAGCAGTACTTAAAACGAAATGTTAGATAGCAAATCAATGAAGGGGCATAACTACCATAAAAGCACCTGGATCAAAAATGTAAGTGCTAAGACACAACCTCAGAGTGTCATGACTACATCAGGGAAGTTTCACAAAACTGAATGAAAATTGTAGAAGTTTTCTGGACAAGGATTTTGTCTACAGGTGAATGGAGTGACATTCCGATTCCAGTGTACTTTTAACTTCCTTTGGTTAATGGGGTACACTAACACTTTTTCACATGCGAGCAATCTCTTCAACCAATGAGAGTCATTCCATATCAATGAAGTAACATCTGTACCCTGTTTGTGAAAGTCTATATGGTAAGTTACATCGTGATTCAAAACTACAGACCGTATTAAAATACCTTAATTGAAAAATAGCAACACTTGATCAGGATCAAAAAAGGGAAAGTACCATGTTTTAAAGAAATATGCACAATAATTGATTATCTGAAATCAGTCTTCTATCTTAATCAGGTGTCATGGTAGACAAAAAGAATTTTGAATCCTTTCTTCTGAATCAATGTTAGGTAATAATTGAAACATGTGTATGAGAGTTAAAGAAGCAATTTCAAGAAGTTGTACACATTTGACCTTGTGACATTGAATTATCATCTGATCAAGATCACCTAGTTGAAAATGTTGAGTTGGTCACACATGCAAGCTACATGTCAAATGTTATGACTTTAGGTCTCGTGGTTCATCATCGGCGTTATTTCAGTATTAATTTTAATTTGAACACAAGGCAAAGTATTGCAAGGCAATCCATAGTTTGGTTTGGTTTGGTTGTGTTTGAAGTCCTATTAACAGCTATGGTTATTTATGGACATGCCAGATTTTGGTGGTGGAGGAAAGCCGGAGTACCCAAAGAAAAACCACGGACCTACGGCCAATACCTGGCGACTACCCCACATAGGCCTCAAAGTAATCCATAGTCCCCCACCGGTAATGATTTATATATTTAACAAACACATCATCCCAAGATGTACTTGTATGCCAAATCTACTTACTCCAGGTGAAATAGTATAGAAAATATGCCCCCAACAAACTTTTATCAAAAGTAAAGGTCAAAGGTCAAAGCATAGGTCACAGTAAGGTCATAGTGACCTTCTTCTTGCACTCTGTTTGTACTCTGCCATCCCAAGATGTCCTTGTACACCAAATCTGGTTACTCCAGATGAAAAAGTATAGAAGATATGTCCAGGTCAAATTTCTCAGACGGAAGGACGATAACGGACGGACGGAGTGCAAACCTATAGTCCCCCCTGGAAACCGGTGGGGGACTACAAAACGTGACCTTTAATATGGGCTAAGGTCATTTTCTTTAGCACATTTTACAGCCCATCACCGAAACAAACTACAATACAAAAGTTGTTACTTTTAACCTTATTGCTAGTAAAAGAACTCTCATGAAGATTTCGACCCTTCGAGCCCAATGAACTAGAATGTGGGACTAGATCATTTATTTGAATAACATACTTAGATACAGGGAAATATTTGTAAATAGTTAATACATGATGCATATAAGCTAATTAATCAGTAGCTATAAATATTTTACTTTATACAAGAGGCCCAGAGGGCCTGTATCGCTCACCTGGATATCAAAGCAATCATGGCAAAATAGTCTCCAAATAAGATCCAAAAGAATGGGCCAGACCCCAAGGACAATCCTTGTATCCTATCTGTATTAGATTTTTCATGCCCAGAAATGTTATGTATGGTTATGGGGTGGGGATCTCAACTGTTTCCAAGGTGTGACTCAGAAACTAGGTCCCTAGGGTTGTGGCCAGACCCGTGGATCAATTATAATATCATGACTGCATTCGTCTCTTTATGCCCAGCATTTGTATATACAGTTTTGGGGTGGGGATCTCAACTGTTTCAAAGTCATGACCCAGGGACTATGTCTCCAAGGGTGGGGCCAGACCCCTGGGCAATCCTGGAAGCATATGTACATTCTTCTCTTCATTTTCAGCAATTTTTTGTATGTATGGTTATAGGGTGGGGATCTCAACCATTTCCAAGCAAAAAACTATTTTGGCCCTCCCCTTTAGCCAAGGGGGTCAGCCCCACTACTTGTACAATTTGAATCCCTGCCTCCCATGAATGCTTCCAACCAAATATGATTGATATCTAGTGCATAGTTCTACAGAAGAAGTCATTTATAGCAATATAGCCAAATTGCCCCCTTTTCGCCCCGCCCCTCAGCCCCCTGGGGGGTCAGCCTCACCATTTGTACAATTTGAATCCCCACCACCTAGGGATGCTGCCAGTCAAATATGGTTGATATCCATCACTTACATGTAGTTTCAGAGAAGAAGCCGCTTAAAGCAATATAGCCTAATTGCCCCCTTTTGGCCCCACCCTCAGCCCCCTGGGGGGTCAGCCCAACCAGTTGTACAATTTTTAATCCCTGCCTCCCATGATTGCTTTTGATTAAATATGGTTGATATCCATCTCATAGTTCCAGAGAAGAAGTCGCTTAAAGCAATATAGCCAAATTGCCCCCTTTTGGCCCAGCCCCTTGGCCCCCTTGGGGGTCACCCCAACCATTTGTACAATTTTGAATCACAACCACCTAGGGATGCTTCCAGTCCAATATGGTTGATATCCATCACTTAGTTCCAGAGAAGAAGTCACTCAAAGTAATATAGCCTAATTGCCCCTTTTAGCCCCGCCCCTCAGCCCCCTGGGGGTCAGCCCCACCAGTTGTACAATTTTGAATCCCTGCATCCCATGATTTCTTTTGATCAAATATGGTTGATATCCATCTCACAGTTCCAGAGAAGAAGTCGCTTAAGGTGGCTCCACACATCGTCATCAGCGTCCATTTTCGTGTCGTACTTCCGGAAAAAGTACAGCTCGGACTCAATTATCTTGATCGAAATGTGCATGTACACCGTGTCGTCATTTCCGTATTGCGTATCGAGCATTCAATATCGTAGTGCAAATTATAGTAACACCCGGGCCGTTTTCGTTTAAACGGTCAAACCGATCGGACCACTGTTGTTCGTTTATTAAATAAGGTCGGACCTAGTAATCTGATGCTGCTTTCAGGCGAGCCTTGAGAAAGCCTTGCAAGGCCTGCATACACATTTGCAGGTCCGCCAGGATTTATACCTGAAATTGTTACATTTATAAACGGTCAAACCGGTTGTTCCGCATAAACGAACAGGCCCCTGGTAAACAATAGTACACGTGCGTGCCGATGATATGTCAACACCCGATATCGAGATTTTACCGGGAAATGTATAATCACACGTACTTCAGGAATAAAGCTTTCCAATTCATAGACATAAACAGACTCACGGAAAGACAGTGACATGAGACCAGACGACCTCAAGAAGGTCATATAGGAAACACATGGAATGCGGACGTATACCGACCTCACATGTGCATATCACGTGCTTACACGAGTTCATTAGCTCGAGGTCGTTACGATTTTCGCTGTTGAGGGAGTTTCACTCTGTCGATTAAATCGTGTTTACAAATGAAGTCTACCTACTCTGAAAATAATGTTTTGTAAAATATCAAGATACCTATGAAAAGCATGTGTGAGTGCACGTGAGAATGGCATACCATGCGATAGCCTCTGGTCACATATGTACCTGACATGTAATTATAAATATACCGTGAGTTAGCAGACTGTGGAATGATGTCCAAAGTGTACATGACTGAGGGTAATTTGGTTCCATTAAAGAACAATAAATTGATAATTTTGATATCATACTTTTGATTTATTTCCATCATTTTTGTTAAATGTAAACAGAAACAACTGTCATTGTGAAAATGTCATCCCTCTGCAAAAAGTTCCGATTTTTTTCAAGGAAGATAACTCTCACCTGGGTCAAAGTGATTTTAAATGTAAAATAAATTAATTATAAAGCCATTGTTGCTTTTAGCTTGTAGACAATCACTTTTATCCGTACAAATTCAATAAAAAAACACTTTGTGTAACATGTGTTACATATTTTGCGATAAATAAAATATTTGAAGGGTTAATTAGAAATGCTTCTTTTCATTTTATTATTGTTGTTATTGTTCTGAACAATGCCACACACACAAAAAAAAACACGAAAATATCAAAATTGACAAAATTCAATTTTTGTTGTTTTTTCCAAAAAAGTCCCCAAACTATCGGAATGTTTAGATTTTCATAAAATCAACTCTACATAGATGCATAACCATTATATGAAAGTTTCAACGTATTTTGCTGGTTAATTGCGAAAGTGTGGAGCCACCTTAAAGCAATATAGCCAAATTACCCCCTTTTGGCCCCGCCCCTCAGCCCCCTAGGGGGTCAGTCCCACCATTTGTACAATTTTTAATTTATGCCTCCCATGAATGCTTTTGATCAAATATGATTGATATCTAGTGCATAGTTCTACAGAAGAAGTTGTTTGTAGCAATATAGCCAAATTGCACCCTTTTGGCCCCACCCCTCAGCCCCCTGGGGGGTCAGCCCAACTATTTGTACAATTTTAAATCCCCACCACCTAGGGATGCTGCCAGTCAAATATGGTTGATATCCATCTCTTAGTTCCAGAGAAGAAGTCGCTTAAAGCCATATAGCCTAATTGCCCCCTTTTGGCAACGCCCCTCAGCCCCCTGTGGGGTCAGCCCCACCATTTGTACAATTTTGAATCCCCACCACCTAGGGATACTTCCAGTCAAATATGGTTGATATCCATCACTTAGTTCCAGAGAAGAAGTCGCTTAAAGCCAAATTTCCTAATTGTCCCTTTTGGCCCCGCCCCTCAGCCCCCTGGGGGGTCAGCCAAACTATTTGTACAGTTTTGAATCCCCACCACCTAGGGATGCTTCCAGTCAAATTTAGTTAAATTCCAATCAGTGGTTAAGAAGAAGAAGCAATTGTTGACGTACAGACAACGGACGACGGACGGACGACGGACGCCACGGTATGGCATAAGCTCAACCTGGTCTGAAGGACCAGGTGAGCTACTAAACAATCTCAAAATAATGGAAAACATTCCAGATCATCATTATTTGTCTTGCCTGCATGTTTAGCGACCTCTCAGTTCAGAATAGTTTTTTTTTATAAAAAGACAAACCAGCTTACGTGTTGTGACAGAGATATCATGTGACTGGACACGTTTCTCCTCTCCACACTGTGTGGGGAAGACTGACGTCACACTGAATTTATACAGTTGTCCAGGCATCAGATCGTCAACGGAGACCCACGTCCAGTCTGGATCCACAGTGAGGACATCATGTTGGTCAGACCTAGCAGGAGACCATCTCACCTCATAGTTCTCAACAGGTGTGTAAGCTGGATGTCTCCACTCTAGAGTTGCAGACATAGTGTCCTGTGTGGTTACATGTAGATCTTGGATGCACAGATCTGATTCTACAAGTTTGAGATACATATATATCATATTTTGCAAATAAAGAAATCATTTGATCAGCGTAATTACTTTCCAAAATAACAAAAAGATGCTGTCATCAATATCCCTTGCTTGCAATGCAAAAGTCGTTAAAACCATAAAGCGTAAAATATAGGTCAATATCAGTATCTGCAATATGCATTCAATAGAGCAACCCTAGATACACAATTGATGCAAGTATAATCAACATAGCACTTGCAGTAGGAAAGATATAGATGAGAGCAATTCTTCTTAACCAGGTGCATGGATGGAAGGACACACGGACGGGTGCCAGATGGACCCCTTTTCTATATCCCCTGCCAACTCGTTGAACGGGGGATTATAAGTCATATACAGACAAAAACATATTGTTCAAGATTGTAATCATTTCATTAGATCTACATGTAGACTGTTGTCCAGGGCTTCAATGTAAGATAGAATAAAAGTAGGTTATTTTATGAACAAGAGGCCCATGGGCCGTAACGGTCACCTGATATATTTATACAGAGAGTTGATTTTTGTTTTTAACATGAACAGAAATATTATTCAAAGTGACAAAAAACAATAAAACCACCTTATTCAATATCTAGCATGCAGATTTAAGACTGAAAAGTATTTGAAACTAGCACCTCTGATTCTAAACAAGGAAAATGAAGAAATTTTATTTTAGCACACGGACTCCATTGGGCCCCACCCTACAGCCCTTGGGGGTAGGGATGGCTCAAAATTTACAAAGTATCAAACTGTCAACTTAGGGTTATAATTCCAATCAAGTTATCAACATGTAATATTCAAAGTATCATTTGCCATTATAAACCATAAC